TATATTCTGCTCTTCTTATAACACTTCTGCTTTGTAAAAACCTCTCATAAGCTACCTTTTTCTCTTTTATCACACCCTTTACTTCATCATTCCACCAATCACTCCTCTTTCCTCCTGCACCCACCCTCCTATAACCACAAACTTCTGCCCCACATTCTAATACTGCATTTTTAAAACTATTCCAACCCTCTTCAACCCCCCCATTACTCATCTTTGCACTATCCCACCTAAAAATTTTTTTTTGCCATCAGTACTTACCAAGATACAGAGGTGCAAAGTTGGCAGAAAATGAGCGGCGTATGGCAACAGCGGCAAATGCCACCCACCCAACATTCTTTTATTTACTCCAATTCGAAGGTTTCTTGTATTTTCCAATATTTTTCTTTTCTAAGTAACTTATGTGGCCTGTGAGACCAAAGTAAGGTGCATTGTTCAAATATACACTCACTGTTTACAACACAATAGCTGAACAAACATTATCACTATTAGATTGTGTATAAAACTTGTTTACACAAACAATACAAAACATTGTTTATTACTATTGTTCCATAATATATATACAGATGTACAGTCACTGAACACTTTCCTAGAACTGCTGCAGCTTGCAGAACTCTTTGCAACATGGGTATATGCAGAGTGGTACTTGACACTCCTCACACATAAAACGAGCGTCTCTGTGTGTTTGTGGGCGTTTTGTGGTATGTCCACATACAAAACACCTCTTCTGAGCACTTTTCTTGAAAGCAGTAGGAGGCAGTTGTATAGGGTAGTGATCACCAGGCCTCAAACAAGATGGCGTGTGTTGGTAATTTCGTGGGTGCTGGTCTATTGCAGGTGTTGCTCCTGGTACTTGGTGATTATTTGTCTGATGACTGGCAAACAAAATTCACCGTATTTTGGTTTGTTGTTGGTCCTCAACTTGTATATGTTATAAGCGTTTAGCATGGAAATGTCAAGAAGATGGAAGAAAAGTTTTATATACCACATATAACTCTTGCATACACAATCAACAAACCCAATCTGCATGTCACATTTGTCCACTAAGTGCATATTGAGGTTGTAGTCCATGACAGCTGCAGGTTTTAGAATGGCTTCACTGGTCTCTCTATTGTGCCTGCCAGTGTGTGCCATTTCGTTTCGGTGAACTGATGTCAACAATGTGACATCACATTTGCCATGCCACCGAAATGACATAATGTCATTGGCAGCAAAGGCCTTCACCCCACCTCTATTAGTGCCAGCGTCGAACCCTGGCATATGTTTACGATTACCACGCACTGTGCCACACATGTCTGTTAGGTTCACTTGCAAGAAATCACTGAGTATGGGGCTTTGTACCAGTTATCAGTATATAATATATGCCCTTTACCAAGATATGGTTCCATCATTGTTCGAACCACATCACCAGAGATACCCAATAACTTCCTGGTATCTCTCAATGTATTACTGCCAGTGTACACAATGATATCCAAAACGAGACCACTTTTGCAATCACACTGTACAAATAACTTTATACCAAGGCGTTTCCTCTTGCTTGCTATGTATTGCTTGAATGAGAGTCTTCCTTTGAATAAAATCAAAGACTCGTCAATAACAAGCTTCCTGAAGGGATAAAAATACATGCAACACTTTTGTTTCAGGTACATAAACACATTTCTGATCTTATATAACCTGTCACTTCTGTCAGGCCTTGTTTTGTCTGAAAAGTGTAACATACGTAACAGTATCAAAAACGATTCACACCTATAATGTCACTAAAACCTGGAGTTGAAATCAGGAGTTCTGTTGACCAGTATGTGGTGACAGTGTGCTTATACACATGTGGCATAAGCATTATTGTGGCAAAAAACAGGTACATCTCTGCCATAGTTGTGTCCTTCCACTGGTGCAGCCATGATCTTGGTGAGAGAATTGTATTGGCCATGGTATACTCATAGTATGTGTTGGTTTCCCTAACAATAATGTCTATCAGGGGTTCATCAAAGAATAACTGAAAGCATTTCAGTTCAGTAGCATTGTTCCCAAGTGTACATGATGGCGTATTCCACTTTGTGTTTCATCAAACTCATGGGGACTGGGAACAAACTCGTCACCTTGCTGCCAATCCCAGATGCGGTCTGCTGGTGGGTTCTGGATATTGAAATGCAGTTGTGGTTGTGCAGGTTGTGGGAGTGTGGGGTTGGGTGAGGCTGGTTGTCGTTGTGCAGAGTCAGGAGCGTCGGTAGTACCGTGGCCCGTTGCTGGTGCCACATGACTCATGCCACCATCACTATCACTACCACCAACTGCTGCCTCACTCACATCATTCATACCCATCATAACAATATCGCCATCTTCACTATCAGGTCGTGGTGTAGAGCCACAGGATGTGTTCCAAGATTTACTTCTTCCCCTTGGAACAGCATATGACACACTACCAGACCACATGCTACGTTGTATATACTGCTGCTTCACTGGGGAATATTCACTCTCACTGTCGCAGCTAGAACTGCTTTCAATAGCTTTGAAATCACTATCACTATCACTTTCACTGCTCACATCTGAGTCTTGTACACAGGCAAATAGTTTCCTCTTTTGTCCTGGTACAGGTGAACATGAACGAGCCGGCCCAGCACCAGAGGTGGAAGGTCATGGGTCATCTGGGTTTTCATCACTAATTATGTCATCTTGGGCACTGTTTTCGGTCACGCCCACTTGAAAACCATGGAATTCACTTTCACTGACACTTTCGTCACTGTTAGAGCTATCACTTGGGAACAAAAGACCTCCAATCCGCCGAGGAGTGAGGTACTTCTTACTGCGAGGCATGGTGAAAATGGACTACCAAGATGGCGTTCCCACAATACACCACTGAGTCCCAGATTTTTTTCACAGGGTGCACACCCACCACTCAGACTCATTCTCTCTCATGTAGGCCTACCAGCTTTCTCCCACTTGATCTGAAGCCGCTAGAATTTACACATATAAATACGTCAGAAACAGTGGCGCGTAAGACGTATATATACAACCGAAACAGTCAAAGGGTTAATTAAAGACAACTGTAATATTAAAGTATTCAAGAGCTTGCTAGAGAAGAGAGGAATTTTCATATGGTAAAACCAACAAATTCTCAAGCTTATACTCAATATTAACCTCTGTCTTGTAGAATTTTTTTTTTTTAACTTATGAAAAGGTTTATCAATAAACGCTCATAGATACTGTGAGTCGGATGCAATGTAGTTGTACTTTCCTAGTCATGTCCTTACCAAGGCTAAACAAAATTATACAGTAACCAAGCAAAAATGTGTCAGTCTTTAAAATGCTTCCCAGACATCATGTATCAGTATCCTGCTCATGTCTTGACAGATCATGCTCCACTGATTCCTCCATTCCAGAATAAACAACCAACTTTTGAACACTTGCCAGGCAACTCAAATGTAGTCACAGATGCCTTATCTTGACACATTAGTACAGCAGTAAAAGACTCTCTATTCAGTACAGAGGATGTGAAGAACGCCCAAAGAAAAGATCCTATTTGGTCTGGGGCATTGACTGTTATTCATGTGATCTACAGATTAAAGAGATTATCCTTGAACAAATGAGATCAATCAATCATTGTTCATGTGATCTCTGAATTCTGAGGAAACTTATTTGCAAAGAAGAAAGTGTTTAACAGAAAAGACGAAATCTGTGAACATTTTTACTTTTTTACTCTTAAATCTCAGAATTCGCAGAAAAAGTGAACACTTCAAAAAAAAAAAAAATTATCCACAATTAAGCTGACATACTGTAAGGGTAGGGATAGGATGGATAATGAGAACCTTCAAAACTAGGAATGCAAAGCCAATGACGATTCTCTTCAAATCACTTGTTCTCTCTAGGCTGGAATAATGCTCTACACTAGCAGCTCCTCTCAAAGCAAGCAAAATTATAGACCTGGAGAATATACAAAGAACTTTCACTGCACGTATAAGTACCATAAAGCACCTAAATTACTGTATTCCTTAGAATGCAAGTAAGAAAGATACATGATAATATACACTTGGAAAATCCTAGAGACATTGTCCCAAACCTGCACACAGAAATCACTCCCCATGAAAGCAAAAGACTCAGCAGGCAGTGCCATAAGTACACTAAGAGACAATAAGTGTCAGGGGCCCAAGACTGTTCAACTGCCTCCCAGCATATGTAAGGGGGATTACTAATAGACCCTTTGAGAGGGAGCTGTCTTCAAAAGGGAGCTGGACAGACACCTAAAATCAATACCTGACCAGCTGAGCTGTGGTTCGCACATCAGGTTGTGTGCAGCCAGCAGTAACAGCCTGGTTGATCAGGCCCTGATCCACCATGAGACCTGGTCATGGACTGGGCCGTGGGGGCGTTGACCCTCAACGTGCCCTCCAGGTGTACTCCAGGTATGAACATAAGTTAGTTGGCTTATGATAAACATTCAACATAAATGCTCTACCAGATCTATAAATATGTATGCCCAGAAATGGAATTATTTCATTTACATCACATTCCATAGTGAACTTAATGGGAGTGATCAGGGAGCTTAATCTGTGTAGAAAGCCATCAGGACTTTCATTGTAAGGCCACAAACAGAGCAGTTGCCTCACACACTGAGTGTCTGAGGTTCAATCCCTGGCATGGGTGGATACACTGGGCATGTTACTTTACACTTGCTGTCCTTTACACCTAGCAGTAAGTAGGTACCCCCAGGATGTGACTGGTGTGAGTTGCATCCTGGGGGACAAGATTAAAGGACCTCACTAGAAATAAGACAGACAGTCAATAACACACTGACTTTTTTTTGGGTTATCCTGAGTGATTAACCCTCCGGGTTAAAAATCTGAATAAATCTTCTTTTATTTTCCTTCAACCATTTGCTATTAGGAAGAAGCACTTGGGTTTTTTCCTATTTTCATTGTGGTATTTTTTAATACTATATTAAGGAACACAGATATTTATAATACTAAACAATACAGATATTTATACTATTAAATAGCACATATATTTACATTGTGTCCCACTTGGGTAATATTTCATTATTCCAGGTAGCAACAGCTGCGGCCAACTGTTCTTCCTGCCTCTGTAGAGTAGCCTGGGCTTTTTTACGTTCCTTAGCCTCCCTCAGTTCTGAAATACATATATAAAGCTATACAAGATATATTAATTCTTTAACATATTAAAAATTTAACTCTTTATTATTCTTACAGACTGAAAGGGACTTGCTCTCTGATAATATATAAAGCCCTATTATGAAGCATGAAATAAATTATTGTATAATAACATCAATGTTATATAATACAACATAATAAAGAAACCCAGATGTCCAACAAATGTAACAATACATAAATAACCTGCAGGAGATAGCTTGGCTGATCAGTCCCTGATCCACCATGAGGCCTGGTCATGGACGAGGCCACGGGGGCAGTGACCCTCGAAACCCTCTCCAGTTATACTCCAGGTATCTACATCTCCCATACCATCTACATCTCCCACACCATCTACATCTCCCACACCATCTACATCTCCCACACCATCTACAATATCCCAAACCATCTACAATATCCCAAACCATCTACATCTCCCACACCATCTACATCTCCCACACCTACATCTCCCACACCATCTACATCTCCCACACCTACATCTCCCACACCATCTACATCTCCCACACCTACATCTCCACACCATCTACAACTTCCACATCATCTACATCTCCCTCACCATCTACATCTCCCACACCATCTATATCTCCTACACCATCTACATCTCCCACACCATCTACATCTCCCTCACCATCTACATCTCCCACACCATCTACATCTCCCACACCATCTACATCTCCCACACCATCTACATCTCCCTCACCATCTACATCTCCCCCACCATCTACATCTCCCTCACCATCAACATCTCCCTTGCCATCTACATTTCCCACACCATCTACATCTCCCATGCCACCTACATCTCCCACACCTACATCTCCCACACTATCTACAACTCCCACACCATCTACATCTCCCACACCATCTACATCACCCTCACCATCTACATCACCCTCACCATCTACATCACCCTCACCATCTACATCTCACACACCATCATCAGTATTATTGCAGAAGCTCTACAGCTCCACAGACTCCAAACGAGTATGTGTATATGTATTCTGGGTCACCACTAGACTATATGGGAATACAGATCGGCCATCACTAATCCAGTAATTAGTCATCTGGCACTAATTTTGGCTAGCATAATTTCAAATTTCTTCATTATACTGACTCAAATCATTATACTGACTCAGAAATTGTGCAGATGCTTGTAAATCCACAGCAACAAGCCAGTGGAGAAGAAAGCAGTGAAAAATGAGGAAGATGTAGCAGAAAGTCTATTGATAGGTTAATTAAGGGTATTGTAACCTAACCATTCTGTAATCCGGCAAACTCATTAATCCGGCACACTACAGGTCCCAATGATGCTGGATTAGTGATGACTGACCTGTACTGTACTTGTACCATACATCTATAACCTAATCTATCCACCAGAAAATGTAAGGAAAATTACTGTACTGTACTCTATTGTGCTGTACTTTTAACCTTTACTTTTCAGGTTAACCCTTTGACTGTTTCGATCGTATATATACGTCTTACGAGCCACCGTTTTTGACGTATATATACTCATAAATTCTAGCGGCTTCAAATCAAGCAGGAGAAAGCTGGTAGGCCCACATGTGAGAGAATGGGTCTGTGTGGTCTGTGCGCACCATATAAAAAAATCCTGCAGTACGCAGTGCATGAGAAAAAAAAACTCCGACCATTTTTTTAATTAACTCTTAAACGGTCCAAACGTATATATACATTCTTACGCGTAGCGCCCCAAACGTATATGTACGTTTTATTTTTCCTGCCTTCAAATTTCACACGATTGGCCTGAGATGCATTGTCAGCATAGAATGGGTCCTAACACTCAGTGTGCGTGGTATTAAAAAAAATCTGGGGCCACTTAGTAGCTTGTGGGAGCGCCAGTTAAACCGAGTGCCAGCTAGAGCAGTGCAGCAAACACCAAGGATTCACTGATATAATGTCATATTAACCCTTTCAGGGTCCAAGGCCCAAATCTGGAGTCACGCACCAGTGTCCAAGAATTTTCAAAAAAAAAATTTGTTATATTTTCTTATGAAATCGTAGAGAATCTTTTCGTGAAGGTAATAAAACAAAAAGTACGAAATTTGGTGGAAAATTGACGAAATTATGCTCTCGCGAATTTTGATGTGTCAGCGACATTTACGAATCGGCGATTTTGCCGACTTTGACTCCCATTTTAGGCCAATTACATTATTCCAATCAACCAAATTCTTAGCTATTTCACTAGTATTACTTCTATTCTATCGATTGAGCACAAGAAATCGCCAAGTCAACTGTTTCAACTACAAATAAAGTGATCGGAAATTGTTAATTTGGCCAATTTAACACAAAGTTCAAAATTTTCCCAATTTCAAAATAGGGTCCAGAATAAACAATGTAGGCATTCCTGGCACTAAACTAACGTTTCCTCTGTTCATTAGTTATGTTTTGAGGCTTTACAAATAAATTCCATTTTGATTTTTTATTCACTAATGAATTTTTATTCACACCAAAAAATAGAAGATTTACTGTTGTGCAATACTGTAATAATTGTATAAATATCATCACCATATTTGTGAATGTATATTAGACCCACCAGCTGACGTGTATTAGACGTGTGAGGTCGTTTGTTTACTCTTGAATATCGGCAAAAATTTAACATTTCCGCTACTTTGAGCTCAGTTTCAAGCCATTTCCAGTGCTAAAACCAATCAAAATCATCTCTATTTCTGTAATATTTCTTCCATTCTATCAAATGAGACCAAGAAATCGCAAATACAACTATAAAAAACATACGAAAAAACACTGCAAAGTTGCTGTTTTAATCGAAAAATCATGATTTAAGTTTTTTTCTCTCATTATACACAGGGTGCTGCAGGATCTGTTTTATGTGGTGCACACATACCGCATAGGTGTATTCTCTCATATCTAGGCCCAAATGTACCACTCACAGTTTATCAGAGTGAGCTGAGCTCATGGCGTAGATCTACGGTTTGGACCCTGAACATAAAGCCGTAGATCTACGGGACGGACCCTGAAAGGGTTAACACTCCTCTTTTAAGAGGAATTGATGTTAACCCCAAGTTTAGGGTCTGTCTATCTCTGTCTGTCTACCTCTGTATCTCTGTCTATCTGTCTATCTCTGTGTACATCTGTCTCTGTCTGTCTCTATCTTTGTCTCTATCTTTTTCAATCTCTCTTACTGTCTGTCTATCTCTGTCTCACAGGTACCTTTGATATACTTTTGAAGAATTTCGAGAGTATATCTAATCTCTGAGCCCGGCCATGGGTCAGGCTCGTCTGGTGCTCACCTGGTCAATCAGGCTGTTGCTGCTGGAGGCCTGCTACCCCACATATCCAACACAGTCTGGTTGATCTGGCACCTGGTGAAGATACTTGTCTAGTTTCCTTTTGAAGGCTTCAACACTTGTTCCAGCAGTGTTTCCGATATCTTCTGGTAAGATGTTGAAAAGTTTGGGACCCCGGATGTTGATACAGTGTTCCCTTATTGTCCCCAACGCATCCCTGCTCCTCACTGGGCTTATTTTACACTTCCTCCCATATCTCTCACTCCAGTATGTTGTTATGGCAGTGTGCAGATTAGGGACCAAGCCCTCGAGTACCTTCCAGGTATACATGTATATTATCATGTACCTCTCTCTCCTCCGCTCCAATGAGTACATGTTCAAGACTTGCAGGCGTTCCCAGTAGTGTAGGTGCTTTACTGGCTCAATGTGAGCCGTAAACGACCTCTGTATTTGTTCCAGCTCCGATATTTCTCCTGCCCTGAACGGGGCCGTCAGCACTGAGCAATATTCTAAGTGAGGGAGCACTAGCGATTTGAAGAGTGTCACCATCAGCATTGTTTCCCTTGTTTTGAAAGTTCTCAATACCCACCCAGTCATCTTCCTGGCTGTCGTGATCTTTGTCTTGTTATGGTCTTTAAAAGAAAGGTCCGCTGACATAGTTATTCCTAGGTCTTTTACGTGTTCCTTACATTCTATTTGGTGACCCTCTTGAGTTTTGTATATAGTGCTCCTTTTGAGTTCTTCATTCTTTCCATACCTAAGCAGCTGGAACTTTTCACCATTGAACGTCATGTTGTTCTCCACTGCCCACTGGAAAACCCTGTTTATGTCTTCCTGTACTTTTTCAGTGTCCTCTACCGTGCTGACTTTCATGCTTATTTTAGTGTCATCAGCAAATGATGATATAAAAGTGTGCTGGGTGTTTTTGTCTATGTCTGCTATGAGGATGAGGAACAGCAGAGGTGCCAAGACAGTGCCTTGGGGCACTGAGCTTTTGACCTCGCTGATGCTGGATCTTGCCATGTTCACTACCACCTTTTGTGTTGTGTGTGTTAGGAAACCGAAAATCCATCTGCCTACCTTCCCCGTAATGCCCATGGCCTTCATTTTGTGCGCTATCACTCCATGATCACATTTGTCAAACGCCTTTGCAAAATCTGTGTAAATCACATCTGCGTTTTGGTTGTCTTCCAATTCCTCCGTAATTCTGTCATAATGGTTCAGCAGCTGTGACAGACATGATCGTCCTGCTCTAAAACCATGCTGGTTCGGGTTATGTTGGTTGTGCTCGTCCATGAAATTTGTAACCTGCTGTCTCATCACTCTTTTGAAGATTTTATCGTTAGGGCGAAGGAATTTTCCCATAAGAAAAAGGGAAAACCAAAAAAAATCCATGAAAGACACCCCAAAGTATAAAAAAAAAAAAATTTTAAAACACATAAAAAAATTTTAAATTTTTTAATTACACACAAATAAAAAAGGGAAATCCCACATTCCATGCCCACTTCCCTTTTAAATTAAAATATTGGTGTTTGATTGAGGGGATGGGAGGGGGGAGAGAGCTAGTGTTTTGAAGGGGAAAACCCTTTCCAAATTAAGATTTGGGTGTCAAGCCCTTTTCGGGGGGGTTTTTATTTCCCCTTCTTCTTTTAATCCCACAAAAACCCCTTCAGAGTCCCCGGACTTCTGTCGACAACAATTTTCCATAGGGGCCTGTCCCTCTCGTTCCTTTATGACTTTCCTAAAGTTTTTTCCAAAAAATGTCGTGTAATAGTCCCCAAAGCACGGCTTGCAATAGCTGTGTTAGGGGTTTGAACAAAAAAGGTTTGCATTTTAAACCCACTTTCCACACTTTTCCCTTAATTTTTTAAAGTGGGCAATTTTCTTAAATTTTTCTTTCCCCCCCCTCCAACCCATTTTCCTCAGGTCTGCCTTTTTTCTGTTGAAGTTGATCTAGCAGCTCAAAGGTTAGTTCTTCATTGCCCTCCTCCCCCAAATCTTCCCCCCTTTCCATCCCCACAAAAACCCCCAAACCCCCAAGGATTTTCCCAAAATGCCACTTTGGATTCCCAACTGGAAAGGGGTTTCCCCGGGGTTGGGCCTAAAACCCCTTCAAAATCCCTTTGGT